GAACCCAAACTCCAGATGTGCCAGGGAGAGTAGGGTAAGACCATCACTTCTCTTCTCTCAGAAACTATACTTCAAATCATAAAATTTTAGACTCGTTTCTTCATTCAACAAGTATCCATGAGCTCCTAGTGAGAATCCGGAACTGTGCTATTTGTGAAGATAAAATATAAAAATCCCATCTGGAAGATTCCCTCAAATACGGCTCCCCAGATTAGGCGCAACTGAATGAACCAGATATTTTATACTATTTTAAGTAAAGTCTGTGTTAAAACATATTTAGGAGGGAAAAAATTAAGGCGTTTTTTTTTAAATTAAAGTCTATTGGGGTGACAACTGTTAGTAAAGTTACATAGGTTTCAAGCGTACTTTCAAAAAGCGACTCACTCCAGTAAATACTACTCATAAAAAATTAAATGTCTCGGAAGTCCCTTCTGTCCTTTCTTATAACTCCACTAAAGGTGTCCACTAGCCTGACATCCTATCACCCTAGTTTAATTTTGCCCATTTTTGAACTTCACGTAAATGGAATCACACAGCACTTATTCTGTTGTGTGTCTACCTACTTTTTGTTTAGAATTATGCTCGTGAGGTTCATCCATGCTATATGTGAAGCAATCATTTGTTCACTCTCATTACTGTAGAGTATTCCATTGTATAAACAATTGATTTATGCATTTATCCACTGCACTACTGATGAACATGTGGGATGTTCCAATTAATCATAATGGGATGAAGCCATCATGAAAATACTGCTCTGCCTATTCTTTCACATCTTTTGGTCCCCATGTTTACGCCTTCGTATTGAGTGTTTCTCTAAGAATGGAGTAGCTGGGTCATAGGAGATGTGTATGTCCAGTTTTAGTAAGTGATGGCACAATTTCAAAAATGGTTATACTAATTTTGATACCCATCAGCAATGTGTGAGGGTTCCAGTTGGTCCATATCCTAATGAGCATTTAGCATGGACCGTCTCTTTTATTTTAGCCACCCTGGTGAGTGTATACTATCCTAATTTGCATTTCCCTAATGATTAATGAGAACCACCTTCTCATGTTTCTTAAGAATTTGAAGAGACCCTCACTTATGAAGTGACTTGCCATTTTTCTATTGGTCTGTCCATCTTTTTCTTAATGATTTGTAGAATTTGTTTCTACATTCTGGGTATAAGTTCTTTATTGGATCTATGTATTACAAATACCTTCAACTATTCTGTAGCTTGCTTTCTCACTCTCTTTACAGAATCTTTAGATGAGCAGAAGTTCTTGCCAATATTTTCTTTTATAATTAATGTTTTTTTGTGTCCCATTCAATAAAACTCTGTACCTAAGTCATCAAGATAGTTTATTTTGCTTTCTTCCGGAAGCTTTATTGTTTCAGCTCTCACGTTTAGCTGTATGATGTATCTTGATTAATTTTTGTATATGGAATGAGGTAGATGATCAAGATATATTTTGTCCATATGGATATCCAAATGGCCCATCATCATTTACTGAAAAGGCTATCCTTTCTCCACTGCACTGCAGTGTCACCTGTGTCATAAATCAAGAGACCACACATGTGTGAGCCTGTTTATGGATTCTCTACTCAGTCCCATGATCTGTCTAGCATTGTGCCAATACCATATCGACATGCTACATATTAATCTAGAAGCTTAAGTCATCAACTTTACTCTTTTTCTTAGACTGTCTAGAATTTCCAAATAAATTTTAGAATTGGTTTATCAACAATTTTTGGAAAAAAAATCTGCATAGATTTTGATAGGAACTGCATCTACAGATTTATTTGTGGAGCAATGACACACCCTCCATTATTTTAAGTGTTTATTTCTTTAAATACTGCTTTAGCTTGCAAAGTTTTTATCATGGGTGTTGAATTTTATCAAATTATTTTTCTCCTTTATTCTGTGTATGTTATTAAATTACAACTATTAATTTTCTATGTGAGACAAAGTTTACATTCCTGGAATAAGTCCAACCTGATGATGGTTTAGTATCCTTTTTATAGATGTTATATTTGATTTACCAACACATCGTTTTAAGACTTTTGCATCTTTTTTGTGACACTTTGGCCTATAATCTTCTTGTAATGTCCTGATCAAGCCTTAGTAACAAGGTTATGCTGGCCGCATAAAAGCAGCCAGGGAGTGTTCCCTCTTTTTCTCTTTTGTTCATTTTTTAAAAAGTTTATAATAGTTCACTAGTGAAGCCATCTAGGCCTTAAAATTTTGCTATGGAAAGGTTTTTAACTACAAATTTAATTTCTTTAATAGATATTAAACTATTCTGATGTTCTACTTCTTATGTCTTAGGTCAGGTGTTATATTTTAAAAACCTGTCCATTTCATATGAATTTTCAAATGTATTACCATAAAATTGTTCATAACATCTTAATATCCTTTAAATGTCTGTGGGATATGTAGTGATAACTCCTTTTTCTTCCCTAAAACTGGTAATACCATCTCCATTAAAAAAAAAACAAAAAAAACCAAGGCTGTCATGTACTATGTGACACACATCCACTATCATAGGAATATTCTCCAGCAGAATTACCCACAGAAGAGCAGGCAGGGAATGTAAACAATGCGGCAATTCCCGCTCAACAGCTTTTATCACCAGAAACAACTATGAACTTGGGCAAAGGAAACACTAACTGAAGGAGAAGGAAAACAGCTATTAGTAATGATCTAGGGTGGCCAGCAAGAACTCAGAAGAAAAACAACCACTAAGCAGGGTGTGTAACCTAGGACACCCTCCAAACTATCCACAGGGAGAATTCAGGGGACCGTGAACTTAACATTTTTTCTCATACATCTTTATTTACAGGAACCTCTAACTAAAATTCAGGATTTCATTTGGTTATAAATGTGGACAACAAACCAAACCAGCAAGAGCAATTCTGGTGACAGTGTTACCATTAAGAGTCACAGATACTTTCATACCGCAGAGCAGCTATTGCAAACACTGCACAATATCACTTACATGGGCATCACTACTTTGAAATTGAGTTATTTGATACAGCACTGTTTTGCTTCTTAACGCATTAATAAAGACATACATAAAATACTCTATGACAAATTTCGTTTTTTCACTCTATTTTGATAACTTTGTTTCTACATAATTTGTAAACCTATGTATTTTTTGATGACTTTTTAAAATTGGTTTCCCCAGACTCAAAAGCGGTCCATGGCGCACGCGCTGGCACATACGGCAAAGAACCCCCACAAAGAAACAAGGATTTCATCCAAACCAGGGAATTCCGATGCAAATGCACTGGAAGCTGGAGACACACAGGTGAGTGAGGCCCACCCTGGCTAGTTCCTCATGTTGCCTGCTAGGTGTTACCAACACCTAGCCACCCAGCAAAATGACTGCTCTCTCCAGAGACTAGGCCTTCAACCTAAGTTAGCCTTTATAACCTACTTCCCAAGGAGGGAACAAAGTAAAAAGTACATGAGGCACAGGCTTTGATCCAGAAAGAGGGGCAATCCCGACATTTACTAGTCTGCGACTTTGGCATCTCCTCTAAGGCTTTCTTTATTCTACTTATCCTTCCCAGTTACTGTAAGGTTTAGAAAGAATGGATTTAAAGCACCTGACAAGCACATTGTCCCGTCACTATTAGTTGAATCTTTTAGGCCAGAACTAACTGTCCTTACCCGACACTGAATCACAGTTAGGGACTGCCACCAAGAAAGGAGGGAGAAAAAAATTATACGAAAGATGGAACATAAAGAATGAATGGAAGGAGAAAAAAAATCATACTTATTTTTCAAATTCCAGTATAAGGAGCACCACCTCCTCAGTGAAGCCTTCCCTCTGAGCTCCTCGTGTACCCATAGCATGCATCACATTGGAGTAACCACCTAGCTCTGTGAACGAATGAATGAGATGCAACACAGAAAGGGAGAGAAACAATGAGTCTCACCCCCAGATAACGCCAACCACCGAGGATGCCAGCCCACTAGCCTGCCTGCCCTGACCCAAGAGCCAAATGAACCAAGGAAGCAGCACGTTTCTTAACACCAATGCCATCCTAGTGCCTCTCCAGCTCGCTTTGTGGTAGGAGTTGCGGGGAGGAGGGCCTTTCCACACAAAGACCAGTGCCACCTAAAGGCTAAATGTAGAAGAAAAGAGAAAAACTTGAGTGCGGAGAGTAAAAAGCAAAAAAAGACATCTCTAAGTTTGGGGGTCACTGGAGCTGCAGCAGTAAGGCGGCGCACTTCTAATACTGCCGACGGGACCAGCATCCGCAATTCCCCGCGACAGGGCGGGGACTGGGGGGGACGGAGCCAAGGAGAGGGCACGCTGGCAGGGGCACGCGTGGATTCCGGCCGGCGGGAGACCAGCCTCGGCCGCCCCGCGGGGTCATGGCCCCCGGCGCCTTTGTCTGCACCGCAGGACCGGGCGCTTCTCTGTCCCGCCCTCGGGCGCGCACGCAGGAGCCGGGGAAGGAAACGGAAAGCGTCTTGTGCGTTTCTTTTTTTCAACCGAGTCCACCGAAGCAAAAAAAAAAAAAAAGTCACCTAAAACGTCCCCGGGACCCGCTGCGGTCCCAGCTACCCACCTCCGGGCTGTCCCGGGCGGCGGCGGCGCTCACGCACGCCCGGAGTTCCCAACACCCCGCTCCGCGCTTCCGAGTCCCGGCGGCGGCGGCTGCAGCGGCGAGCCGACCGGCGAAGCCGCTCTCTTCCCTCCGCGCGGCCGTAGAAGGAGCGGCCCCCGCGCGCGCGCTCGGAACACGTCCCCGCCGCCGCGCCCGCGCGGCCCCGCTCTCGGCGGCGGGGCTGGGAAGCAGGCGGTGCCCCCGGGCCGGTGGCGAGCAGGCCGCGCTGCCCCCCGGGGACCCACGAGAGGGCGCTCTGCCTCTCGGCCCCCTGCGTGTCCGGCTGGGGCCTCAGGCCTCGCTCGCCCGTGGGCTCCGGTTCCCGCGCGGACCTCTCCCGCCACCCGCTGATGACTTGCAGGCCTGGGGCTGCCATCGGGTTTGGGAGCGGAAGTCACCTGAAACTCGAGGCGAAGGCTAAATCCCACCCCAGTGCAGTTGTACGTTTAGTAGGTGGAAGGAGGTAGAGCTCGGTGGGGTGGAAAGAGGGCGGGCTTTGCAGCCCGGGTGGCTCCGGGAGCCTGCTGCGTGAACTTGGCCCCTGGGCGCCGGCCTCCCGGTCCGCTTCAGTAAGCGGAAATAAGCTGCCCTGCTTTCCTCGCGAATTACAGTGAAGAGCACATGGGATGAACTTGATGAACTGGCACACGATTTACAAAGATGATCGCCACTGCAAAGCGGATACCAGCGGTTTTGAAGAGCGTTGTACAAGCGTGGAGATCCGAAGCCGCCTCCACGGGACATGCTTGGGACCGTGACTTTATGCCAAGTGCAGTCAGAGGCCTCCAAGGCCACGCCTCCCAGAGCCGGTTTACCTAAGCGGGGGAATCACCGGGGCTCCTCGTAAAACCACAGGCATCTGGATCTGTCTTCAAACCAAAGGAATCAGACTCCCAGTCTCACGTGGTCTAAGAGCAGGGCAATGTCCATAATTCTACCTTAGGCCGCAGGAAAGCACGGAGGCTGTGCTACTAAGAGGTTTAATCTAGCACTCATTTAGATAGTCCAGGAGATGCTTTCAATGGTTGCAAAATTCTCTGGGAAGCCAGGCTATATAAACTCTGAGAACTGGAGCTATCTTTTCTTTCAGCTCTCCATTTCCACCCCCAACACCTAGTACAGGATGATGCTCAGAAAGTAGGTGTCGGGCCGGCCGAGTGGCGCGATGGTTAAGAACTCGCTTGGGATGCCAGAGGGCCCCGGTTCGGATCCCACATATGAGGGCCGGTGACACTGCCCTC